ACAACGCATGATTTTAACGCAGTAGGTCTCAGACACTCGCTGTTGACTCGCGCAGCCCAAAGTTTTGTGTAAGCGCTGAATGAAGGCGCGACACAAGTAATCGGCCTCGCGAGGAAATCCCGAGACAGCATCATGTGTCGGAACAATGCTGCCCGAGACAACACTTTGGCGCGACCACGCATCTTGCAGGAAATACGCGGCAGCTCGAGGGCGACACATCCTGTTGTCCGGACGCAAATGGAGCGCGTTATCTCGCAGTAGTAATTTCGCTTTATCCCTACTTGCTGTACATTACATATATGTATATATTATATGTGTATGTATAAATATACATTATATATATATGTCAGTGGCGTACCGAGGGGGGGGGCGGGGGGGGGGGGGCGCGCGCCCCCCCCCCCCCGAGAATGGGTCGCGAAATTTTTGAAAGTTACCTATGTGGGTTATAAAAATGTGCAAGTGACTTGTTTATATTTGTAAATAATTAAAATAATTTTTAAAAATTTTTAAAAATTCAAATTAGCTTTGTAAAAAAATTTTTTTCGGGGGCGTGGCTGACGCCACGCCCCCTTTTTCTAGATTTTAGGGGTCGGGGACCCGCAAAAGTTTTGAGAAGCACCCCAAAAAAATTTTCGGAGTGCGTGGCTAACGCCACGCACCTTCTTTAGAAAAAATTTTTTGTCGCGCCCCCCCCCCCCGAGCCGAAATCCTGGGTACGCCACTGATATATGTATATATGTACACGCATATATATGAATTCTACAAAGTCTTAACCAATCTATTACTTCTAAAATGGCATAAGGATACTTCGGGGAAGTCAAACTACTATGCTTACTATCTTAAAGCTTCACGATATGGAGATACACGATGAGATAGAAGTGTACTTAGTAACCGTCTAAACAATGAGAATCTCGGATTGCAAATAAGTGATAAGCAAAAGCGGGAGTAGAGTCAAGGCAAATGATATGATAGTGATATGTAAGTACAGCAAATTAGAAAGAATTAGTAGCAGATGGGCTAAAACTTGTCGGGGATGGTCTTTTCTATTTCCTTGACGCATGTGCAAGGTGTATACTTTAAGAAAGGAGAATGAGCACTATGTCCAAAAGAAATTCATCCGACACTTCATAAAATTGAGAAACGGAAATTTGAAAAGCGCTTGACGTAGTCTGACAGCTCCTTCTTGTCAACAATACGGAGCACCTCTGCAATGCAGAACAAAAGATATCAAGATTTGTGTGGTAATCCACTCACTTCCTTTTTTCTCCTCGTCTCCTTTTGCTGCAGCACTGTCAGCCCATTTCCTTCTCCGCAGGGCAAGGAAGCAACCTAAAGAAAAGATAGCTTACATCACAGCAAGACTGGTTTGGCGTGAATGTGGCGTGCCACACCCCACAGCATCGACAACATCGACGACACCGACAACCTATGGCCGTTCCCACAGGTGGCATGTGGCAACAGCAACAACATGTTAACAACAATGCGTCGGTTGGCTGTTTTGCGTATGTGACATAGGTGGCATAGGTGAGCTGTCGTGGAATGGACGATTTACTATACACCCCCCTCAATTTCTTTTCAAAACAAGCAACACGGTCCTATGTCGTGCATCGAAGATGGTAAGTTCAAATGAGAGTGACTCAAAAAAAAAACCAAAACAAATCAAAATTTACGTAAAGAATGGCAATGAAAACATATTATTTACCTCAATGATGCAAACGTCTGGCCTTTCCAATGTGCCATCAAAGGGAATCCTGGCCACTTGCTCAACCCACTGGATTACTGCATCCATAAAATGTGGAATTAAGTGCACCGTCTCTCCGCAGTAGTCGCCAAGTCGCTCACGATCAGTAACCTGTAATTTGAGCTTTTCTTCATAATAGCCTGATATGTTTCAGCATGTAAGTTAAGAACCAGTGAAGAAAATAGGCACCAAAATAAAGCCAAAACTTACATGCTGAAACATATTAGGCTATTATGGACAAAAACTCAAATTCCACAATCCCACTATCACGGAGATAGTCGAGCTTTGATTTCTAGAGAAGAAGCTTCAAAATTGGATTTCAAATAAAGTTAATGTTGGATTGGAATGAAATTAATGGGAATAAGAGGGCTTAGGTGGGATGGATGGAATGCACGAATTTGGAAATAGGTAGCAAAAAACCTGGAATGATGCAACATGAGCTGAGATTTGAAATGCGCGTCGATATTGCGAAACTGCTCGCTGAGTCACTCATCATCTCCCGATTTCCTTTCGCGAACAACCGCAAAAGCTGTCAAAATATTGTCTCGCGCATGTCTACGCCCTTTCCCGCGAATCCCTCAAAAAGGGGCGGATCTCCGGCGCGAGTCAACAGCGAGTGTCTGAGCACCATTGGAGGCTGATCGCCGCAATGCTATAACCATTGGGTCCTGCAACGATTCAGCGTCATCAGCCTTGCTCCACTCGTCCAATTTCAAAGGGAAGGGCATTCAAAAACGCATGTTTTCGCCGTTTTCAAGCTATCTAAAGTGGATTTCCGGGATCAGCGTATTGAATAACCCCAGGTAAGCAAAAATTTGACTAGGTTGCGATTTGCCGAGCCACTGCCTTTAAGGATCATAAAAGATAGTGATGAGATTACGAAACAAAATCGCGACGGCCGAGGTCAAAATTTGTCTTGTCGATTTGCTCCACCCCGGAATTCGGACAAAATACTACGAGACTAAAAATCAATAACTTAATGGCAGAGTGAACTTATTCAGAGCTGAAATGAATTTGGGTGATATGAATGGAAGAAGCGATGAAAACGAAGATGACCTTAGTAGTTACACAAAATTCTCCTTCACAAAAATATTCGTAAATGCAAATATCAATCTATATAGCTGTGAGGTCCTTTTATTGGAAATATGAATCTTTGCAGCGTTGGTTGAGAAACGTCCTGAGATGTGTGCTGCTCCTTGTCTGGGTAGTGGAACGAGCTCCGCATTCTAGGCCCCATCCGAGGACTACTGGTCAGGGTCCGGCACAGATGGTCTGAGGTCAAACTGGACTTTGTTTTTGAAGTTAGAAGCAACGGGGATATCGTTTTTGAGAGGTCTTGGGGGAAGCGCCGATAAAAAACGACGAACATCTCAGGTTTTACGAGCTGAACGTGTTCTTACGCAAGCGCGCGAATTTCCGCAATTCTCAAACAAATGGCTTGTTTACAGCGCAAAAACAATCACATAACCCCGAATTTGGGCTATGTGTATACAATGTTACTCCAAGCTATGTTATGTAAAAAGTTTTGAAAACTTATGTGCCCTAATATCCGTTCCCGAATTTGTTGGCACCAAACCAAATGGGTTGGTTCGGAGCATAAATATTGGAGAGTTCACATAAGTTTTGGCCCTTTTTGGATTGGACGATTAGAACGGTCAAAAATTCAGTGAAGAGATCGAAGTAAACCATTGCCTCCCCTCTTTTTTGAGCCAAAAGTAGTGTACAGTCGGTTTCATCCCGGATTAGGCGAGATATTCTACGTGGAGCAGCGCATGCGCATCGCTGGAGGCTTCGCGAGCGCATAGCGCTGGCATTTTGCCAAGCAAAGACTAAGGAAATTGAAGAGACACAGACATGGGTTCTCAGCACGATAGGATATACTGTAGCTGCGAAACGGCGCGAGCTGTTGCGAGGCGGACTCCCGCCAATCCAATTTCCGCCTAAAGCGGGCCGAAACTTACTGTAAATCTATCCGTTGAAAGCTTTTGCGCTCCAATCAAATGCGGTGTCCTTTAAACTATGTAGCGAAAAATGCATCGCCAGATTGTTGAGGCCACAGATTTTTTTGGCCCAGGAAGTTTTCGACATTCTGAGCATTAAAATACCAACCCAATGACGGAGCCCTTAAGCCTTTTAGCCTTTAACTCGAAATGTTTTCTTTTTACTTTTTTTGTTATACTAGATACCTCAAAATGCTCTTTTTCGCTTTTTTATTGTTATTTTGATTGAACAAGGGTTCTCTACTGATTTTTATGTCAAGAGGGACTTCGTAAATTTTCGCGAAGTCATGGGGGACTTCGTTTCCAAAAATGCTTCAAACCAACGCGTGCCGAGCCCTGCTACTGGTCCTTAACCCATTGAGTACGACGCCTAATTTTGCATGGCGGCGCTGTGGGACGACGCGATTTTGCACAACACTTTCAATATGGGAAGGCTTTGTAGTAGCGAGATGCAACGTTGTTTTGTGAGCAAGTCTGGACATTTTCTTAGACGACGGAGCCAGGTCTCAAGAATGCAAAAAAATTGGAAAAAAATATCAATGGAAAAAATACTAGACCTACAAATAATATGACTTTGAAAGAGGTGTGCCACCGGGGTCCACATCGTCCCTGACAGCAAAAAGTGCGTGGAACGAAGTCCCCCATGACATCGTCGTCAATGGGTTAACGGTGCCCTCCATCCAGATTCTCGGCTTCCATGTTTGTTTGTTTTGGGGCCTTTTCATGTCCATGATTCCGAAAATGAAGTCGAGAACAAGCAGAAACCCCGACAATCTCCGTTGTTGAGAACCCGCAGGTACGTCGGGTGATTGGATAAGCGCGCACGAATAGGCGGGCATCACTGGAGGGGGAGGTGCCGTCTTAAGGTCGTCATCATGCATCTTCACTATTCCGAAGCGATTACCTTGCTTCCAAAGCGACATTTTGAGCCGGGACTAAGGCGGCTTGATAGGGGTCCTACTATTGTACGCTACCAAAAGCTCAAGCCTACCAACCTAGGCTGGACGGTGCCTTTGAGCGAAAAAGTAGCACGCAGCGGAAGCCCTATACGGCGGAGTTCACCTCCCCACCCGTAATTAGGAAACTGTGTGGAGATCAGAATATGAAAATAGTGTGTATAAGGACTTTTACTGATGCATTAGTATGAAAAGTGATAGTATTTTTATTACGGAAACATAGAATATGTACATTTTAATGAATAGCAGATGAGATTCGATAGTTTGAGAATGCTTATGATTATTCTTCATATCAAAAACAATCTACGCAGTCGTTGAGGCAATCAGTAGTGGAAGCACAGCTAACTCCAGACTGGTGCCAGCATTGCTTTTCCTGCAAATACTTTAAAATAATAAAGCCCAGTCGCTTTCTGTGATTTGAGTCTATTCCAGTTTCCAGTCCGGATGAGGCTAGTATTGGCATGTCTCGTAACGGTTTGCGCCGCGTCCAGGTTTGCTTTAAGCCATTAGGCCGGCGCCTTTGCGTTTATGACAATATACAAAAGCTAAGCGCCTATGCATATAAGAGCTGCACTGGGTAAATCCGTAAAGATCTGGCAAAATGCCAACTCGCAGAGTTTCAGCGATTAGATGGCGCTGGAGGTATGCCTTGGGCCTCGTGGTGGGATCTATCTGTTCGCCGTACAACTGCGACTCAGATACGTTCTCCAACTCGTTTCCTTCACTATCTCCGGCACTGCTTTCCCCGCGCACGAGCTGAGCAATCGAGTAGCGCTGCTTTCGCGAGAGTACTCTCTGTCAACAGGATTGGCGACTTGCGGGTGGGGCTCGCGTTGTCGCGTCCGCCTCGCCTGGCTCTGTCTGCACCTCTTCGCGATCGTGCTCTATAGTGATTGGAGACCTTCCTTTCCCACGCTCCGATGGGAAAGTAATAAGAGAGCACGGTCACGAAAGAGGTGCAGAGCCCAAGCATCCCGCCCTCCAGCCGCCAATCCTGTTGAATCAAAGGGTACAAACCAACATCTAGCCGATAGTACCCCCCCCCCCTCCCCGACCTGGCGGCATGTTTCGCCGTCAGGTCGCCGTCAACTTTACGTGAAGTCGGCGGGAACACCGACCTCAAATCTGTGCCCTCCAATCCCTTTTCACCACGATTTTCCTGATCGAGGAGGTCATTGTGATCTTAGAGAACCTCACTTGGCAATTAGATTTTAAAAACTCCCCTGGATAAAGTTGTTGAGGTAGGCGGGAAGAGCTGGCGGCAACTTCGCGAGCTGACCTGGCGGAATCTCGTCGAAATTTTAGCGCTGAGATGCCGCCAGGTCAGAGAGCACGAGAAATAGCGTGCTCATTTGAGAGATCAAGGTGCCACCACCCCGACGTGCCCCTACCACGTCGAGAAGGCGGCACCTTGCTGGCGACGTCTGCAGGTTTGCGTCGCGCGGCAATATCACACAATTCACGCCCAGCAAAGAAACCAAAAAAATTATTTTCTATCGAAGATCTATCATTTTTGCCATTATATGGGTTTTCCTCCTCCAAATTGATGATATGTATGCACAAGAAACGACTACTGATATTACAACACCTTAAAGAACGCCATTTTCTTTTGCAGTTGCTTCAAATCTCATTTGCAACGTTTCGTCTCTCGCTCGCTCGTATCAGTCAGCTTTTTATTAGGTCAACTCCATCGTTGTATTGGTCATGCTCACATACAGGCGCTCACTACTTAGGCAGCGCTTCTATAATTGCTGCCGCTTCAGAAATTGAACGAGTGGTCGAATGGTTAGTGCGGCGGCGCTTGAGGTTAACGCACGCAGGTTCGAAGTTCGAACCCGCGGTATGTCGCTGTTTTGCGGCTATCAGCGGCATCAAAATTTCATGAGCGTAGGACTGCGGAGTAAGACTATCTAAAACTATTAGATCAATCCGCGAGCTGTCGCCAGAGTTGGCAATTTTCCGTGATGTGTGCCAACTTGGCGGCATCTATGATGCCACCAGGTAAGGTAGATTACTACCGGCGCTTGAGGCACTTTAATGGCTGACGACCTTGGCAAAGGCCTCGAGACACGTTCGTGAAGACCCGAGCCGCGCCGGAATGGGATCCCATGTATGCTTGTTATAACCAAGCGTTGTGCAATCGCACAGCATGGTACCCTAACATTTTCTGTTTGAGCGTCTATATTTTCATTTCTTGATTTCTCGAAGAATTTGCTTGAGTTCCGTCGTCTTACAATAATTTCGATAATTTTTTCGTCTGATAATCCCCATTACCTGTTCAGATACACAGTTCTACTATTAAGTGGCTGTGTTGGTCTCCACTTATGGTCCAAGACCTTTTCACCTTCTGCGAGGTGATGACGCAAAAGATCCAGCTGAAATTTGCATATACGCAAAATTGCGTATGCACTGGAAAAACCCACCTCGGCGACAGCAACGTATATAGGCAGGGTCAAGCAAGGGGTGTGGCACACGATCGCTGGTTACGACCCCCCCCCCCCCTGATTGCTGTCTTAATAAGACCCCCTCCCCCCTAAACTATACACTTAAGATAGCATTACTTGAAGGCCCTATCAAACATAATGGGCAACATATCCATAATTAGCATGTCGAATAACCCCTGTAGATAAAGTGTGAGCGGATTCTGAAGATTCAACATACTAGACTACCTAAGTGAAATGGTCATTTTTCAACATGTTTATCATTGTTTCAAAGGTGAAGTAGCTATCCGTTTTTGCACTCAAGACAAAGCACTATTCCTTCTTTGTCCACCTCAGGAATCCCGCTTCAGAAGACCTCCAAACTGTGGAATTAGAAGCCAACCAAAATCTCGTTTTTTCCATTTTTCGCTTTTAATGGCTGTGCTTTCACCAACTATTACTCAGAGCAAAGAAAACGAATTAGGCTAAAATTACTCCTTTGAAAACTAGGAGATCTAGGCTATCGATTCATATAAATAGTGTCCGCTAAAATTGTTTTTTTATATAGTTAATGGCCTGCGGCACCCCCCCCCCCCCTCAAAACCTGCGGCAGCCGCAGGTTTTGAGGGGGGGGGGGGTGCCGCAAGCCATTAACTATATCAAAAAAACATTTTTAGCGGACACTATTTATATGAATCGATAGCCTAAACCTTGTAGATTCCATAGGACTATTTTGAGCCTGATTCGTTTTCTTAGCTCCAAATAATATTTGGTGAAAGCACAGCGATCAAAAGCGAAAAATGGGAAAAACGAGATTTTGGTTGGCTTCTAATTCCACAGTTTGGAGGTCTTCTGAAGCAGGATTCCTGAAATAGACAAAGAAGGAGTAGTGCTTTGTCATGAGTGCAAAAACGGATAACTAATTTACCTTTGAAACAAAGTTAACCATGTTGGAATTTGACCATTTCACTTAGGTAGCCTAGTATTTTGAACCTTCAGAAATCGCTCACACTTTGTCTACAGGGGTTATTCAACATGCTAATTATGGATAGGATACGAATATCATGTTACCACTATTATCAGATTACCCAACTACGACCCCCTCCCCTTTTGACTCCTCAATACGACCCCCCAGGTGTGGCGTGCACCCCACGCTTGACCCTGTATATAGGTCCGACCATTACAATCCAGTTCACTGCTTCGGTGCATGGCGGAGTGGTTAATGATCCCTAGGTTGGGCTGGCTCGATAGTATAGAGAATAATCAAAATTTCTTACCATTGTAACGAAAGTAAGTTACTTTATCTTGTGGTAATAACACTGATGGACTATAGCTTTGTTGTGTCTCTTGCCCTGCCAAAGTGGTTTCACTCAAACCAAGCGTCGAACTACCAGTGCGAATTTATATTCTACGTTCGGTCTGCTATTACAGATTAGTCATCTCATATGATCATATGTGCCATTTGACACATAGTGTCCGTCTTTGCCTTCCCCATCCTAGATTGGCCATCGAAGGCACCATAGTGAGATTTTGATACTGTATAATGGCAGAGCTCCCAAGAAAGTAATCGCCCAAGTCCCGCTACAAAAGACAATTTCCGAAGCGAGAAAATTGCCCTAGAAGATGCAAGCTGCAGGGGAAACTCCGCCCATCAAGTGTGGTCTGAAGTCAATAAGTCTAAAAGGCTTAATGTATTTAAAGTTTTCATAAACTCTCTCTTCACTATGATTAACAGATTTTCAAAGTTTCTATCTACCATGCTGGCCAGCTTCATACCCATTTACTTCGAAACACCTACTTGATGGGAGCGGAGAGTCCTAAGCCACTCGTACCTTCTAGGGCAAATTTCTCGCTTCGGAATTCATCTTTTGCAGATAAACTGGGGCAGTCACTCAGTTAGAGGCTCTGCTATCATATAGCATCAAAATCTCACCATCCTCGATTTGGTGGATGGTACCTTTGGGTAAGCCATAGAGCGAAGATGGAAGATTGCAGCAAATCGGAAGAAGCGCTATTTCGTATCCAAAGTGAACAGAAAGCATCAATAGTATGAAAGAAAAACTGTTGGAGGTGTCCATCTCCAATTCTAGGATGAAGACGGCTAAGATGGGCATTGTGTGTACTAACACACATGACTGAATGAGATGACATGACTGTGCGCATCTAGAATGACACTTTTTTGTGGCAATGTATAAACGTTTGAGTACCTGTTTTATTTGTTGCCAAGATAGCATTTTTTAGATTCGCAAGAGCATCTTTATCTTCGGCAACCTGTACCATTACTAAGCATTACTAAGCGTAAGCATCGTCCTTAGGGGTGGTTTGTGATACGAAGGGGCCGCTTGTGATACGTATCACAGGCCCGCATCTCATTTTAAAGGGCACGTTAAAGGATTGGACCAATGCAGATCGGAGCTCATGGACCCCTCTTTACAACTATGTGCTAATCTGGGTGGATGGATCTTGCCTGGACGCTGCCTTTAAGAACATCGACATTATATCGAAACATGTGAAGCTGTTGCCAATTGTAATAATTTGCGAAGGTTTCGCATTTCATCTGTAGAACTGTTGGCCCTGGAGTAACCGCTGGCGACTCCAAGGCCAGAAAAAATCACGTTCAATATATGATAGAAGCAACAACTTATCAACAACTTATCCACATACTATTATCACAATAAAATGACAAATTTTATCAAAGGAAGCAAAGCAGTATAGTTCAACAACAACAAAAGCTATAATGAGACTAGTGATAGCGTCAAATGCAAAATAAATATCTACTCGTATTCCAAAAAAGGCAATCTTTGGTCAAATGTGAAAGCGATCACAATAAGATGTAGACAGAAAGGATGGTAACGATTAGTGTTTGAAGAGCTGCTACTGCTAGATTAGTGCCTGCCTGTCTCCTGCAAAGAAATCAAATAATTTATATCAAGTGAAGAACTTCTATCAAAGTAGCTATTGTTGGGGAAAAAGCAGCGCCAACCAAAGTGAATAATGCGGTTTTTGAAGATCAAAAAAGTGCTATTTGCGTCTGAGCTCAATATAAGAATAATCAAACAAATACACACTTTCTAAATCACTTGCGCTGAGCGTTACAATTTCTTTATTGTTGCATAGGATTTTTTCTATTGATAGCAATGTGTTAGTAGTTAGTAAGCCAAGCGAGGTTAGTACTTTATTAGTTAGTGGTGGCCTGACGTTTCGACGGGATCGTCTTCTTCAGAGGCCTAAAGTGGTAAGAGATCAATGATTTTATGCCTTACCCCACCAGAAACCTCTTCCATCCTGGCTAGCCTCTACTTCACCGAAACTCCTCTCCGAAAGAAGTTGTATTTGAAAGTCCAGATTTTTAATGCTATGAGTGGCATAAAATTAGCTAAAAGAGTACATAAACTGCTTAGGCAATCGATTTTCTATTAAGTATATTGACTGCGAGGAAGGAACAAGCCTGGATTCGCATAGGGTTACTTGTACAGCTTTTCGCTAGTTCTATGACAAATGAGGCATGACAAATTTAAACATTCGTAATTTCGATCAGAGAGTGTTCCGCAGAGACGGTAGACAAATTTGAAATCATCGCAATGCCTACAAAGTGATATAGGTTTTATCTGGAAAGGCTACTTCGATCAAAAAGGCTCCCTTGTAAGCTGACACTGCACGCGTCGAAACCCTACAAAGTAAACACCAACGCTTGAGCGCTGTCTTCTAAATATACCTGACGCAAGCGACATTTTGCCGAAATTTACGGCACAAATATGGAAAGGATGTCGCTTATCCGTGACCCGATAGAAGACATTCCAAAGCGATACACCGATGTGCCGGCTACACCACGGAAAGTTCAAAAGTTATATAGGCAAATCTTAGTGATTATCTCGCGAAGCGAATGTTCTGGGCGAAGATAACCAAGAAAATGGGCACACGGTTTTGTGGGACTGATGGGCTTACTGATGTTAGAAGTTAACTGGCGACTCCTCCACCTGGCTTTGGACGTCAAATGAAGGAAGTCTGGGTTGTTAGCTAGAATTTTTCGACTCGATCACGTTTGAGCAGCGTGTCGCTGGATTTCTGGTCAACGGTTTTTGCAGCGGACCCTGCCCATAAACTCAGGCGGAATCCTTAATATTCTACTCATTCGATTCAAGAAACTCATTGCCGAGCCTTTAATAAACTACATAAATTTCCACTTTCCATCATGCATCTTGCGCGTAAGTCAGAATCAAGTATGAGGTCCGCACGTGTAAAAACAAAAAAGAATGAGAGAGCCGTGCCAGAATCACACCACATAACTGCTACTGCAGTGCCTACAGATGTACGAGAACTGAATCGATACCTTCCAAATGATCACTTGCTCAGAGGCACCGTCCACCCAAAATGTGGTCGATGAGATTTTGATGGCTAACAGCTGTGTGTCCCCCAGTATATGCCCAACTCGCGCTGCCAGAAGTTGCTTCCCACGCGAGAAAATTGCTTCAAAAGCTTTGAAACGTCGCCACGTTGACTCCTCCCCTTGGAGAGGGCGTGACGTTCGTCCCACCCATTTGAGCGCACCTAGCCAATCACCGTTCCTCAAAACTGGCTCTGCGGGTCCTCCGAAACAGGGTTTGTCGGGGTTTTCGCGGATTCTTGATTTGATATTCGGAATCAGGGACATGAGAAGGCCCCGGAACAACAAAAGCATGGAAGCCGAGAATCTGGGTGGAAGGTGCCTTTAACTACGTTTTTATTTGAAAGTAAAGACTGTTATGCGGGCCTGCATGATCGCGAGAGTCGGACGTGCGCACGGCCATGGCACCGCGCACGTCCGATGTCCGTCCTAAGTCTCAGTGGATGCCGCCCTGTTCAACAGGTTCATTCGGTTCACCCCCTCTGCTGTTGGTCACTGCATTGATTTGACCAGTAACGAATGATTGAGCAGGACGAAAAGGTTAAACAGGATAAGGTCTGGCACCTGCCTCTGTGACTCGCATGTGCGCGGCGCAGTGGCCACGTACGTCCGACTCTCGCGATCATGCAGTCCCCTATACTGGTTGCCTTAAGCAGTTACATCGCCCGTACTTAATTTGTAGAAGCTTGCCCAATCTGCATTGCCATAACTTGCTTTAAAGTGCATTTTGAATCCAAGGGCATCATTCGACTCAGTTCCACGAAATGTATCTTCTCCTTAACACATTGACGACAACATGACCCACATGGGTGGGTCATGCAATGGCTGCCGCTTGGGACAATGTGACCCATGAACCACATGGTGGGTCATAGCTCAAATTCCGCTAAAATCTCTTCTCTTTTGTTGCAAACTCATACTAAGGGTTTTGTTACGCGCTGGTTCTAGAAATTACCTCCATGTTTCTCGTCATCCTCTCAGAGCTGTGCTAGATATACTGTAGAAAATATTTTGTGTGGTTTTAGACGAAAAACTACAAGTCATTGGGAAAAGGCTCTGTCCCAGAGGGCAGACAAATGAAAATACGCGTTGTCGTCAACGTGTAAACAGAAGATGTGCCTGTTTGGGATACGCTAGGAGCACGGGCAGTCAGATTTCGTAAATGAATCCTAATTTCTCCCGCGACAGATTAGTCAGTATGCAGTGATCCAGCACCGCACCCGCCGTTTTCGCGGAAATCTGAAGACGATTGCTACATGCTTAGGTTTAAATTGCGTTTATGCAAATTACTCATCCAACAACTGTGAAAGCTAAAGGCCTAGAATGAATCCAAGTTAGACATTTCTGATTTTACGAAGTTATTAGAGAAAAATTAATTATTGCCGCTTACAATTAACCGCAGTTTGTGCTTGAAAAATCAACCCTTTCGGACCCGAATTTATGCGAGTAAGCCAGGAAGCTCTCTCCTGATGTTCTTTAGTGAGATTATAGCGGAGTTTGGAGTCTTTCTAACCTTATAAACTATTTCGTTTTGGTATTCAATTTTTGAGTTTTGCGCTTATTATTGAGTGTGAGTATGTTAATAAGCCGACCGAGGTTAGCAAATGTTTATTTTTAGTGGTGGCCTAACGTTTCGACGAGTTCGTCTTCTTCAGAAGCCTAAAGTGGTAGGAGATTTAGACATGCTCTACCTCACCAAAAATCTCCTCCACCCCCTAGCCAGCCTCGACTTTACCCCCGAATGTCACAAACGAAAATACGCAAGGACGTGGAAGACGAATTAACCTCCCCCGCCGCTGCCGCTCAGATGAAAGTTGAATGCGGCCTCCTCGAGTGCCACTAGTATGGAATACAGTCTATACCATATCGATATTAATCAGTGGCATTCTTCAACTCACACAAAGCCATAAAAGGCATAAAGTCATTCGTGCTTGACGCGCACTCATTTCGGCTGTTCATGCATGGATTTCTTGCAAAAATCCAAAATGCCTCGAGAGCTGTTCTACTAGCAGTATCGTATTCGTATGCCAGTTTGTACATCTAACTTCGAATTCCTCACTACAATGGAATTCAACCCTATGTTTACCAGGCGGTGTGGTAAGACTTCCGTCTCTTGCTGGCAAGATGGTCCTTCATTCTAACCCAAAGTGGTCTCCCAGTCTCTCCGATATAAGTGGCGCTGCATTCAATACATTTGATCTCATATATCACACCGGTCTTACCGCAGTCACCAACTTTACCGGATGGACAAACTACACAGTCTTGGATTCTGCAGTAGTTGTCGTAAAGTCTGTTACGTACTAGCCGCTTCCTGATGTTGTCACTTGGAATGTTAATCAAAATGACATCGTTTTCGAGGTTCGTGTGTTTAATGCATCGTCGCACTATTGATAACATTAAGTAAGGATATTAAGCACTGTCTTCATTGTCTAACGTGAGATTCCTCAATTTTCTGATCTGCTACAAAAACCATTTTGAGGTATTTTGTGTTAAAGGCAGCGGCTCGGCGGAATGACAACTTTGGGATATTCATTGTTCTCGGTTCCCCTGGATGAGCTAAGTCCAAGACTGTGCTTTGCAGCTTCAAAAGATATCAATAATCCGCTTTTCCAAACGCAAAAAGTGCTATTTGGGCGGACCGTGTTGCTTGTCCTCTGGAGCGCGTATGGCTTGTGAGTGGAGATACTGTACCTACCGCACCCATGAGCCAATCGAGCTCTGGAGGGCAGGCAACGCGGTCCGCCTATATGGCACTTTTCACGTCTGGAAAAGCTGATTATTGATATCTTTTGAAGTTGCAAAGCAGACTTAGTTCATCCAAAGGCCCAAAGTTGCATTCTGCCGAGCTGCTGCATATAATGCCTTGCCCACCTATTCAGATAGACAGTCCTGTCATTCACTGGTTGTGTTGGTCTCCAGTTGTAACTCAACACCTTTCCTTCCGTTGTCAAATGCTGTCGTAAGAATTTCAACTAAAATTTTTATCAAAATTTGGCCAATTCTTCCATCAGAATCGCATATCTTACCTCAGTAGGTAAAACATATTTGGGTTCAGCCATAACTATCCAGTTCACTCCTTCAGTACAAGGAGGTGTAGTTAGTGATCCTTAATCTTTCGAGTTATAATTAAGTTAAACCGCGGTTTAAAAAATGGTAAAAAGAATGCTTACCCTCATAATGGAAGTAAGTTGTGGTATCATTTGGTAATAATACTGCTGGAGTGTAGCTATTGACTAGTACTTCTCGATCTGGAAATTTCAAAGCTGTGATTTCGGTGAGGTTTATGAGTTCTGTAGACTGCACTAATTTCTGCACAAGATCAGCTAACGTCAATTCAATCTTCAGCCGAATAGAAGCTCTTTCATCTTACTTGAGGTATTTGTCGCCAGGAAAGCGTCTTCTAGATTCGCTAGCGCATTGTGGTCCGAGGAAACTTGTACCATTACTGCTACCTAAAAAACATACCATCTAACTCCGGGAGTGGCACATCTCAGGGCTCCAAAATTCTTTGCATCAATTCGTCTCAGGTACAAATCTAATAAAAACTATTTCCTGATCCGATAAAGCAATTTTAGGAATCTCTCTCCATTTTTACAAGAAAACATAAATAATTTGTATCTTTATATGGATGGGTAGTGCAAATGTTAAAAAATATTCATAGCATATCAATAAATATAAGGTCGTTTCAAAGTAATTTCGCTTTTTCAAGCGGGAGCCACATTTGATAGAACAAACGTTTCTAAAAGATTTTGGTAGCATTCCAGCATTTTATCTTCTTTCCATGGTTCAAAAATGCTGCAGCGCAATCAATGAGCTTTCAGAAAATAACCAAAATCTGCGACCTATGCTTTTTGAGATGGTCAAGTTTCACAATTTTTCTAAACTTTTATATCAACCCTCGAATATCTATAAAGCAAACCTTACAGGATACAAAACAATTTTTTTCTCCTTTCCACAGCTTGTCATATATTTTTAATAGAATTTTAACTAGAGCTACCGATTTCCATACTTGAACGATTAATTCTTTATCGAACATCAAACGGTGAGCAGCTCAGGTGTCATTCGATGCAGCTTGTTCTCCTCTTTCTAATGGATGCTTTTTGTTTCCGATTCGTTCAGTCTTCGGAACTAAAACATAGCTTATTTTTCCAACGAGCCCCAGGCTGTGCCCGTAAAACTCGAAATTTGATATTTCGAATCCGTAAACTCTCACTTGCCTTGTAAAATTAGTGCCAACTCAAAGTGGTAGTCTCAAATTCCGAATAATTATGATGTTTGATGCGATTGTGGCTAATGTAGGCCTGCCAAATTACGATGGCTTTGTTAAAGAACCTTTTTTAAAATTATCGCTTTAAAAAAGAGAAAAAAAGCTGTACTGCATTCTATGAGGTTTGCTCTATCGAATTCTTACTTGATCTCCTTCCGAGGATTGACATGAAAGTTCTAAAAAATTGTGAAACTTGACTGGCTCAAAAAACATAGGTCGCAAATTTTAGTTATTTCCTGAAAGCTCATTGACTGTTTTGCAACATTTTCATAATCATTAGAAAGTTGAAATGCTGTATCGAATGCTACCAAGATTTCTTAGAAACCTTTGTTCGATCAAATGTGGCGCCCGCTTGAAAAAAGCGAAATTACTCTTGCAACGACCTAATATAAGTTCAGGACATGTTCTTTATAAATGTTTCAATAACAAGAAAGTATTAAATTTGAATTATGATACAATTTTACTAAGAAATGCGACAGGACAAGTGCAATTCGGCTCATTATGGCACTATCGATGTGCGTACTGTAAAAGAAGCGCTCTGATTGGTTGAGGATTACTGTATCTATGTCGGAGAAGTGCTTGCAACACCAAGTCGAATAAAGCATGACACCTCTAATGGTGAACTTACCTCAACGCAAGGTATGTATATAACCTAAAAACTGCGAAGAACAACCAGATAATAGCGCATTGACATCTAACTTATAAGCTTATAAGATTACCGCGCACATACTCAAAAATGAAAAGACTTGGCGCCGCTTTTCTTATCCCGATATAAAAAATATCTGCTATCCCAGTTTTGGATTTTCTTCTATTCTGTGACTTCAAACACCCACTTACCACAGTAATTCCATCTTTGACACCTAGCGCAGTGGTTTCATTGAAACCTTCGAGAAGATGTACAAAATGGATCTGAAACACTTTTCCAAGAAAATATCCAAATTCCGAGATGCGCTTACCTCCATAGGATAACGCGCATGATCCAGAGTGTGTTCACTGCCAGTATTTTCAAATTCACCCCAATGAAAGTGAAATTGTTGCAAATAATATGTTCCCTTTAGCGGACCTCCTGCAAATGGAAAAAAACAAGTAAATTTTGTGATTGAAAATATTCCATAATGATTTTTTTTCATTTAACAAGTATAATGTCATATTATATCGTCAAAATCGAAGTTAAAACCAAGAAATACGGCAATACATTCAGCCGAAAAAACCTCAAAATTACCTGTTATATAAGGTCTGCGATCCCACGAGTGAAACCCTTGCACTAATTCTGGAAAGTGAACAATTAACGCAGTGATAAAAACTCCTTAACCATTATTTACTAGCCTGTATGCCCATTATTCGTGGCAGTGACCGAGCCAGTGACGTCATAGTAATTGAATTTTATAGGGTCATGCTGTGTGATTACGGCAGTCGCTAAAATATACAGTAATCACTAGCTTGTTGCTCATTGTTATAGAATGGATGACAGCTGATTTGAACTTATCTTTATAGATCTCTGAATTGGATCATTCTATTGACCAAGAGGCAGTTTCCGAACAAAATTCTGTATATGAACTTCCAGGTGAAAACCACTGAAGTCTTAACTCCAACTGCTCAAGCGGCAGCTAACACGATTCCTTCGTGGTCGAGAGATTCAAGTTTGAAGCCCCGCCCAGTGTCGTACTACTGGTGGGGCAGTCAGCATTCTCGAGTGCGGTACGGGCAAGAGTTTAAAATTGAATTTTTCAGCCAGGAATGAATTATATGAGGTGTCGCTTGGGCAATGCTTAGTCGAGGCCTCATATCCACAAAAGAGGGAATTTCGGATCTGCCTCGTCATTGCTTTCACTTGACTTCTGTGGTAAAAGATATTCGTCGACGACTGCCCCAACTGGTGCAATTACACCACCGTGGGGATGCTTTCTGGGAGCCCTTCCAGCTTGACAGCAGGAGAGAACAGGACAGGGCAAGGACAAGGAGGGATGCTGCAAGCTACCAAGTCCCCGGGCGCTGCAGCGTACTGTCAAGCTGAAATGGCCCAATAAGGCATGCCCAAGGTGGTGCAATTGCACAAGTCGGGGCAGTCGTCAACGAATATCCTTCAACTTCCATTTTTGATCTCAGATTCCTAAACAATGATTGACGGGCTCCTGTCCACATTTTTTAAACAATTTAGACATCTTTCAAAAAACCTGAATCCTGTAGAATCTGAGAATTATCGAAGAGAATTATCGTAACAGATAGATTTTTATGGGTGTCAATCTTGATTTTTCCTTTTATGCAGTCTGTGCTCCGCTGACGTAAACTTCTCGCAAGAATCTGTTGCGTAGAAAAAAAAACTGTACTATATTTTTTAGTATTGTCGCTAAGACTGATTGAAGATGACATCGCAAAATTTCGTTCTTTTTTAACTTTGTCAAATGCCAATGTACATAAAAATGCCAATGTCCACTGCACAAAACAGGTCTACATTACTCTCAAGTAGATATGAAATTTCCAACATGCACGATTATTGAGGAGTAGACAGGACGATACTATAGGTTGATGATATGGTTACAGAAATTTAATCATTGTTTGATATGAAGTTTGCAATCATGCAAGGTTTTTGACTCATGGCCAGACGTTATAGGCATTGTTCATCAAAATGGGTACCTGGAATGTGGAGCCCAATCGAGAAGGGTTAACTGAGCAGTTGTTTTAGCGGCATCCTAATGTTTCATTCGCAAATGAGAAATTCGATACAAAGCTCTCGAAATACCAGAAAACTGGTGGTTTACTCAGAAGGAGTACGGTACTGGACGAGAGTTCTTGATAAATCTTTGGCCACACAATAATTTATAGAAGCTACTGCAAGGCCTAGTCAAGGCTTTCGTATCAGTATATGTGTGAGTTTAGACACCACAATTTTTATGATTAGTGATTTTTGGTAATAGCTGATCATCGACTTTGGAAGGTTTCACTTTAGACTCAAATTCATTGCTTTTAGGCCTCCTGGGCAGTGATAGACGAATAGCGCGATCAAACATTCGAACTACTCGAACTTCTTCAGTGCCAAATTCTTCAAAATCATCGCACATTCGATCTGCGCCATTGTCACGATTTTTCTTTCTACACAAATCGTGCCCCGCTGACGTAAACTTTTCGCGAAATCTCTTGCTGGTACGTAGAAAAACCGTCGTGTCTCTTCTCGTCATGCCACTAAGAATGATGGAAGATGATATCGCAAAACTTCGTTCTTTTTGGACTTCGTCAAAAAGTGTGCGTTCGCTATACGATACGATAACAAGTGTTATTTACTGATTGAGCCGATACAAGCAAATTATGCAACTCCATGAAGAAATAAAATAATTATAGCTGAAATGTCAGCAGTCTATTATAGGAAAGCATTGATTTCTAGCTACCAGACAGAAATTCGTCTTGGCGAGGTGCTCTATGGCTCATGTCATAATTGATTCCCTTGATCCGCTTGATCCGCTTCGTCATTGGTCAATTCGGTGAACTGACGAATAGTGAAGTGGACGAAGTGGATCAAACGGATCAAGTGGGCAACTGTTTCGCTATAGGTCAGTTCACTGAAGTGACCGATGACGAAGCGGATCAAGTGGATCAAGTGGATTAAACGGATCAAGTATGGCTCGTGCTTATGTCTGCAATAAGACGTCAAAGCAATAACGAGAAATTTGTTCTGGAATTCCCAAAGAAACATACCAAATTAGATGATATACTTTTCATAACCTAATGTGGTAATTGATTACAAAAGGTTAGACTTCTCAATCAAAATCACAGAAAGTTGCGTTAAAAGTTGAAGTACAGATTTTTGTAAAAACGTCCGAACAACACCGAGAAGTTTTAACAAGGCTAATTTGATCTTCAGAAATTTGAAAATTATTTTCATTGTTGACTCGTACCTATATCCAGATTGATGGGCGACTGACTCAATCCGGTGGCGCACGTCTCCTTCCAGTTCGTATCATCATAACTCCAATGCTCTAAAAAATATGATTTCATAAGCGAATAAATGCTTATATCATCTCTTACCTCCTGCTACAAAGCAGATATTGCAAGTGGCAGCTAATAAATGTAAGCATAGAGTAGTCCTGGTCATGATTACCTGAGATTCGTGCCTCCGAAAGTAGAAATTCGTAAGCAAAACACTAATAAAGCTGAAGTAACTGAACGATTGAAAGAATGGATGCGTAACGAAGAAACTTGGTCCTATTTTACGAAGTCATTCGCTCTTTAGTGAACACCTCTTTCGAGAAGATGATCCATCATCAGTCTTATACGTGATCGATCTCAAATATGGTGCAAGAGTTTCTTGAAAAAAATCTGAACTGTTTGATCAATTGCCATAATCTGATCTTTCAACCTTATCCTCTTTTTTAATAGTGTCAACAAGGTAAGAAGGTGATTCACAAGACCATGTGTGATTTATACATCTGCATCATTGAAGTTGATGGAAAAATTTAGAGATTTTTAGTTTTTAGACATTGTCAAACATCAAACGTGGACAGAACCATTCTAGGTAGCATGATCCATCTTATATCACTCAAACCTGGAGGCGATAATGAAAAGGGACCTCGCAAGCTTCTCAAAATTCTCACTATAGTAGTTTCAGGTTGGCTTCCATAATATGTTACAACAAAGAGGTTATCAAAAGTGAAGTTAGCAAATAAAAAGGAAACTAAAAATTTTTTGATGTGAAGGCAAAATTTGCATGCATGTGATTGCCGCAAGTAAAATATCTTGCATTTGTGATACGTATGAATTTTTCTATTTTTCTAATTGCTGAAAATCTTTCTAATCCTATTTGCTGATAACACCATTGAGAAGGTTGAAAATACATATCTTTTAGCCCATGAACAATTTGGAAACGTTTGCGTACTTCATTTCAATGCCAATTTCCAAAATTGATAAATCAAGCGGCCAAGAATGAAAGATACATATCTTGACTTACTAAAACTTTGCAAATTTTCCTTGAAGTGGTTAATTTGAATGTGGTGTAAAAACATCAACAAAGAGAAACAGTATTGTGTAAAAATGCTTTGTGATTTGAATCTTAACATAGCAATGTAGTCTCGATTACAAATAACTGCTGGATTTTCAGAGGTGAAGCTCCTAAAAATACTGAAGTCAATGATCCTTATGAGATGCTGTATTTCATGAATAAAGTTCATGATCGTAAGATTTAGTATTTGCGTTATATACCACTCAAGTTGTTTTTGTGATAATTTTCAAGTTTATAAGTTCATATTTGGTGCATATAATAGTAGCTCCAAACTTATATGGATAATATGCTGGACATTCTCAAATTTATGAGAACACTGGAAATTACTAGAATAATGTTGTAAATAACATGGAAAATTGGCAGATTAATAGGTAATAGGCCTATTACAAACGCTATATCCAGTAATGAAAGCAATAACAGTATACGATAATTCTTTAATTTTTATTATTTCAGTAATACAGGGAGTCCGAAAAAACCACATACACTATATGACTTGTTCAATTCCTTCTGACCTTTGAGTATCCTGTAGAGCTGGCTTTGATTCAGATATACAGTATAGAACAAGTCTCAGATTGTTCTTCTAGGGTATAATAACCTTCATTTTTAGGCACCTTATTCAAAGATGAAGTAGATGACATTTTGATTTTTTTGGAAAGCCTTCGTATAGGCTTCACGAACACAAAAAACTTCAAGAATCAGGTGTGTAGGGTTCTGAGGTTTGTTCAGTTTGAAGCATATACCATACTTGATCCACTTATCCACTTCTCTAATGAAAGCTATGAACTGACCAATAGCGAAGTGGATCAAGTGGATCAAGTGGACATCCGCTTTGCCATTGGTTAGTTCACTGATTTGACCAATAGCGAAGTGTCTCAATTAAAGCAAGCATACCAAGTATGACCCGTGCCTAAGCAAGATGAGGGCATTGAGGAAGCGGCTTATAGTGCGTTTAATGCAAGTTGTAGATTTCATTCATCGATGTCCAAGTAAATAATTTTTTTTCAAATTTTTTGGATTTTTTCCTGAGGTAAAGTTTGGCCCTGAAAGCTTTGAACCTTCGTTGAAGTTCATGCCGTAATCTCGCCGTAGTCTATGATAAAAAGAAAGTATAATGATTTACTTCAAAATCTAAGCAGTCAAAGCAGAGATGCACTAAGTTGAGCGAGTTAACAACTGAAAAAGTGTGTACATAACTTTGGAACAGTTTGCTAACTAATATTTTTGAAGACGTTGTGATCACCAATCTTAAAATAGTCGAGCTGCGATGATGTTGACAAAGAAAGATTGATATCTATTACAGACGTGCATTCCATTAGGTTGACGCAAAAGTAACAGGCACGTATGCCACTGTGTGAACATGAGAATTGTAAGAAGTTTACTATTTGTTTGATTTGATAGCAGAGTAAGCTCTACTAGACAACTGCCAAATTCTTGGGAAATGTGATCTGCCCCAAACTCAAAGCCGAAACCAAAAAGTATTGCCTCAAAGATCAGATTTTCCACCGAAAAAGTCTTGCAAGCCTCCAATTTGCTCATAGCATAGTAGACACATATCAAAATATATTTATGCAGTTGCCGGTATTTTTTCGAGCTTAGAAATCAAAAAAAGGCTGAAAATTCGAGAATGTCGCGTTTTTCGGTTTTTCGTACCAAATATGGTTTCCGATGACTAGGGCACATACACAGATGAGGATTTCGCGCTTTTGCTTCTAAAGTTTAGCATAACACACTTGTATCAGGTCATGTTTTCGAGCCATTTGCTTTCTTGCATTTGGATAATCGCCAGAATTCCGAGCCCATGGTCTTTCCCAAACCAAGTATAAGTTTGGCAATTTCCAAAATTTTCAATCCGAACTAGCTGTGATGACATTTGAATGATCAGATAAAGTGCAATACAACAAACAATTCTTCAAGGTACGCATGTATTAAACACTCGCCGTAGAAGGGATCGCAGCTTCAGAAGAAAGCTTCATAGCCTGAAGCTTCAGATATCTGGAATTCACCTATCTACCTATCAGTAAGTATTCCCATCATCCTTTACCATGAACTTATAAAGCAGGAGCGAGAAGCTGCACAAACCGCATATTCCACCCTTTTGTATAATCCCCGGCGATCGACCGTCTTTTCTTCGAAGCATTTTTCTTTCGAGGTTAACGCAAGCCTTCCAATGTTGTACTGATTATCTAATTAAACAGTGCTGAGCATGTTGCTCATCGCAAATTTCATGACTTCGAAACTTCACTTGTTCTTACCAGAAGCATGATTAGCACTGTTGAGTTAGATAAACAGCACAACTTTGGAATGTTGTTGACTTCAAGAAAAAAAATGACCCTAAAGAAAAGACGGTCGAGCGTTGGGGATCATCAGGGGATCATACAAAAAGCTGAAAAATGCGGCTTGTACAGCTTCCTACTCCCGTTCAAGATGTTCATAGGGAAGGATGGTGGGAGTACTTACGGATATTTAGGCGGCGTGAAAACCAGATGTTTGGAACTTCAGGATATGAAGTTCTTCTGAAGCAATTCATTCTCTGGCGGGGATTCTAATATGCGGCCCTAAGTATCCCATTTTTGTCCGTTCAACCTAATACATCCTGCACTATCTTCTTCCGTTGCTCCCAGCACTGGTGCTTGGTTCTGCCAAAAAAAAATTCCTGGCAGCGTCCATAATGTTTGCCTTATTCCTAAAAAAAGTACCATAGCCCTTTAGAGTTTGCTTCCGGTGCTTTTTTCAAAAACTCGAAAAACTGCGATTGTAAACATACTCAGACAATCACAGGCTCTCAGCGAGCCCCACCAAAAGCGTCGTTGCCTTATCGCAGCCACTGTCGCTTCCCGCTGAGAGCTTTGTCGGAGCTTTGTCGGAGCTTGTCGGAGCGGGCTCGCTGCCCGCTGAGCCCGCTCCGACAAGCTCCGACAAAACTCCGACAAAGCTCTCAGCGGGAAGCGACAGTGAGGCGATGAGGCCACCGCGCTTTTGGTGGGTCTAGGCGGTGGCTTTGTGGCTGCCGGCTGAGAGCATTTGATTGTCTGAGTAGCGACTAATAATAATGATGGCGATGAAGAACCTTCAAACTAGACCAAATCTGACTTAAAACCAAAGTTAGGAAGAGTCACAATGTGACAAAAGGGTGTAGAGAAAACGGCAACCACCAAAACGTGGAACAGACAAAAAATGGAATTTTGCAGCCCGTTGGCCTCCATGAGGGCCACAACTAAACAGATCATGTTTGGTCTTCCAACTCGCACAGTCTTGACCCATTCTCTTTCTCTTCTTTTCGTGAGCAAAAAGCGCGCTCTCCAAACTCGAGCTAGATTTGCTAAAAGGAGATCTGGTGAGGGCATGGGACACATTTCCGCCAAAAACCATAGCGCGCATCGTGAAAATTTTCTCTATAGTATACCTTCGATAGTCCAGAGACAGGGCGTCAAAAGTGAAGGTTGTTTGAACATCTGACGTCATAAATAGTGAAGGTTGTTTAAAGAATATCAGAGAAGAGAATGTGACGTAAAACAGATATAAATAGCGAAAAAACTGCTGAAAACCGGATAAAAACGCCGCAAAGAGGTATGAAATCTTTCATTTGGCGGCTTTTCAGAGTGCAAGTTTTCGCTCCAGGACCAGCAATTCGCAACACGGGGTTTTGATTTTTGATGCGTCCTTTGAATTTTTACCCCGTATTGACGTTCCTGTTTCCTGGGACGTTGTCTGGATTGTTGCGCTTATTGTTCTGAGCAATAATCGCCCAAGCTGGAAAAAAATCGATGCGAAAGCATTGAAACAGAACAAGGTGAAGAAAAACGCACTTTTTACGATTTTTCGCAAAAAATTCCACCATAATCGAAGAGGTAAGGGCTGGGTGGTTGTCTGCATTATGAACAGAAGCAAGGTCTATAGAATGCACGAAATAACAGCATGAAAAGAGGTAAATTAGGAGAAAAACAAGAGATTTTCGAAAACAAAGTTTTTGCCGGATTTCTCGATCAAATCAAAAAATGTGGTTCTGGGACGTTGTCAGCGCGAAAGTAGAGATTAAGAGCTTCAAAATGATATATAGCTTGCTAAAATTGGGTTTGAAACAGCCAAGAAAAGGGTAGCAGAGCCAAATGCCCCGCGCCCCGCGTTTAGGGTAGCGAGGTAGCGCGCAGCGTGCGGAGACGCAGACGAGCAGCGGAGACAGACCAGAGCCGACGGGGCATTTGGCTCTGGTAGTAGATCTCCGCGGGGTCTCAACGAAACCGTACAACATTATCTATCATTCTGATCGTCATAACACGACAAGGAGAACTGACAACGTCCCAAGCTTTGAAAATCACTCATTAACGAGATAGACCAGCGTTTTCGTGCGCGACTCTTTGCGCAAGATTTAAGCGCAGTTTCTTGTTTTTATTTAACTCCAATAGTTTCCTCAACTTCTGAAACTCGATTTTATTCAAATGAGAAGATAACTGAGAAAATTTGTCTTGAATTCTGGCGAACATTCCACAGAAACCTTCTTTTTAAGGTAGAAAAGGCTATGAAAACGCAAATTCTCGGTTTCGCTGAGATAAGCTACAGATATTATTCCCTATATTTGCTTCATTAACATTCGTTCCGATATAGTCAGGATAATAACATCCGGAGAGAAGCCCTGGATGACTTCTGTTCTTTTCCAGGTGAAGGTTGTGGTCCCCCATAGCCCTCAAAGTGAAGGTTACCAGAGTACGTGGCTCTATGTATCGATGGTATGCTCTATACACAATAAATTTTGTCGATATGCCGCTACGAAAATCGCCTCAAGTTTTTGGCAATGAAAAGTTTAGAACATAGACGAATATTTTTTGATCTCGTTTTCGGTTTTCGACTTTTGCATTAAGAATTAAGACTTGCCCCAAGTAAATACTGGATTTTTAGACCTACAAACAGATATGGTGGGTTTAACATTCATTATTTACTTATTTACAGGAAGCGTTTTTGTTGGGTTTTTAATAGTTTGTTTTATAGAACCCCACGATGGCTTAGACTGTTACCAGAAACGGCACTGCAAACCTCATCTACAAACAAATTCAAGCGTAAAATCAATGCAATTGACTTATCCTTCCTATAGAGACAATCTGAGAATGAATAGAATTTCTCTACAAGTGCTGACTTTTATAGCCATTTAAGCTTTGAATCTTTGACGTTATGGTTGTTGTACTAACACTTATCCTAGTTTCGTCCCCGGTAGTCATTTTTGCTTAGAAGCTACTTTGGATCGTACACAATATTCTTCCAAGCCATCCCATTTTATTCAACTTTTATTTGTTTCTCATGGTAGCGATGTAAGAGGGAGCTGAAAGAGGTCCTCCGCCGAGCACGCATGGATTCGCCCATTCGCTTTGGTGCTTCCTCTTTAGATTCTCTTGAAAGTGATTCGTTTATGGCTTTCACACCATGATTTATGATGTTGAATTAGTGGGCTAAGCTTGCTGTCTTCTAAAGTTGGATCCACTATGGCTGCTGGAGACACCGTCTATGATTGGCTATTTTTTGTTCTATTCTCGCTTTTTTTGCACTAAACACGTTCGTCAGGAGCATCTATGAATGCACAAAATAAATAAATAAATAAATAAATAAATTCTTGCACCAAAGCTGTAGGCGAATGTTTTGGAAATATTCTACAAGTTACCATGCAGAATTTTCTTGTCTATCAGATGAAAAGAAAAGCTTTTGATCTCAAGTTCTGGCAAAGTTACGAAAAATTTATGCGTCCCATTTCATGTGGATTACCCTACAATTAAATTTACATAACTTCGAGATATCTAATCATAACCACCTGCATCAACAAAGCTTCCTATTTTTTATATGAAAAAAGTGTCGGAGTCTTCGAATGTTCCCAAACTTTCAATGTTCCAGAGATCATGATCAAATTCGCTACGTGTCTGCAAGAGAAAAAAAAATGAGATGTGAGACCTATCAACAAAAATTCGCTTGTTTTCCGTACTTCATTACTTAAAGGCAGTGTCCCGGCAGATTTTGCACCTCCACCTTTTTGCATGTTTTAGGCCTTTTCGCCACGTAGAATCCGAATTTGAGCTCTGAACGGGCTGAAAAGGCCGATTTTGGGGCGTTTTTCTAATTCCAAGCAGCTTGGACGAGATTTTTAATGAAAAGTTGGGGGAGGTCCTCAGACAAAGATCCTGCTGCCTGTAATTCTTGCTTTGGATAGCATGCATCATGGGGGAGAGCGCTCGTGGGGTCCCGCGCCGAACAGGCGGGGAAGGCCGTCCAAGCGCGCGCCAGTTGGGGTTGCGCGCGCCGGTTCAAGGGCCATTTTCTCGGTCCAGGGGGAACATCACCCAGCCGGAGTGCGCCTGGAGGTCGATGGGGTGATCATGAACCCCACCACACGTATATCCCCCAGGACCCGAATCTGCCGGGACACTGCCTTTAAGTAATCAGAATACCGCTAAAACAAAACTCAAAGAGCAAGCTGTGTTTGTCCATTGATTCAGCAATTCACACGTGTTATGAACTATTCTTCTTTCATTTGCCTATCGTGATCCTTGAATGACAGCTCCAGCTGATCAAAAGTTGTTCAGACTATTGCTGTCAGATTAATAAGCTAACAAGCTTATTGTATGAGTCATTGCTAATCTGAATACTACAAAAGGCTATAACATGGAATAAAAGCTAGACAATATCACAGTTCATAGGTGATTAGGCCACAATTCAACATAACCGGTGAATGGGGATGTCTGGAGCATATAAAGCATTTGAATTCTATACTTTGTGTGCGTTTTGGCTGCTTTGTTTGCTACAGCTTGCTAGTTATGCCATGCTTTGATCGACACTCTTACTTCGCGGTCCGAGTACAGATTTGACGTAGCTTTGCAGTGTTGTTGAAAATTTTTTTTCAAATTTTCACAGAGTTTACAGAAATGAGTACGTCAACAGTTCTATCCAAAATTACACAGGTACCTAATTCAACTTACATCTTCAGATAAGATTTGCATAAGTCAAGGATTGATGTACTTTCTAAAAGCAATTTAAAATGTATAGACCACGAAGGAAAACCAAACCATTCATTAGTGTCTCATTTTTGTCTAATTTTTACCGTTTTTACCTTAAACATCAGCATTTCTCGAGAACTGCGGAACTTACAAAGGATATAAATACATGATCTTACTTCTCTATGTACGAGCATATGATCACGTGCGTGGAGGAGCTCATGAAGTCTAGGGGCGGAGTTTGCCAACTCCATTCATTTTTTCCTTATTTCTAGCCACGGAAAATAAGGAAATTGTACAATCAAATGTTTGATATGTCAAGCATGTGCTAGGATAAATGGGGAATCTTAATTTTTTTAATTTTTGGATTTTTTGGGGCGCAGATACGATTTTTGACGGTAGAGTTCATTTTCGACTGCCATCAGATTTCAGCTCAAAACTTCAGGTGGAATACGATTCGGACGGACTCTTCATAGCCATCTTGTAGAGTTGCCTTACATTGTCAAATAATTTTAAGTCACAGCAGTTAAAGGAAAGATACAAAAAGACGAAGGTTGTAGTAAAAACGGTATAAAATTACAAGACACCGTGATATTTTGCTGCTCATTGCGGTTTATGTAAGTGACAGATATAAGCCAGGAACTTGAAGAAGTAGAAGATTGAAATTTGCATTCAATAGAAACTTCCATCGATTTTAATGAAGTTTCATGAATTGTTGAAACAGATGCATGTAAACGAGAGGATTTAGTATGCTAGAACAAATATGTGCAAGATGCCGGATCTTGTGACAGATATGTACATTTGTATAACCGACTTTGTAAGCTGAACCATGAAGACTGATTAACTCGGGTCAGAAGCCCAAACTTTTAACTTTTACGGTGAAATTGGAGCGAGCCGGGAGAAGTTGTTTTTTTATAAAAAGCGGAGGATTAATCAGGCTCAAAATAAACTTTACTTGTTTTCTGTGATTATCTAGACAAAGATGAAAGAAAGGTGGGGTAGAGCTGTTATAAGAATCTGACAGAGTAATCCAGTTCAGAAATTCTTCTTGATGACAATTAATGAAGAAGTGAACGACTAGGAGCAAAAGATCAAGAAATGCACCGGCGTTCTTGACGCAATCAGATTATATTGACAGATAAATTACAAATGATAATAAACAAACATGCGCTGCGCTAATAAGTCTTTACAAAAAAAAATCTGCAAAGACGATTAGCCGGTATCTTTTAGCTTGTGACTATACCTACCAAATATATTTTGGAACTGGACGCATTTTCTTACCAGCCTCATCTTCTGAAACTAATCGATAGCTTCAGAATTTTTAAAACAAAATCATTTCGCGAATATTTATTCTTTATTGATGATATGTTTGTCCATCACATTAATTACAATCAGATCGTATTTCAGAGTAAAAGCTTTGGATCAAGTAAATATTTCCATTTCATAGGCATATTGGACGAATATTGCAGTAGTAATAAGTGTAATGATCAGAAAAGCCACTAAAGGTGCAATTTCTTCAAAATTCATAGACTTGATGAGAACCCTGCAACAAACATAAACTAGTTTAAATTTTTATGTTCGCAGTTTTTATCTTAATCTTTTTGTTTGATTCAAAATTAAAGTACAAAACTTTCATAGTAATTACAAAATTTACTAAAATTGTAAATTTTCTTGTATTTGCAGTTATGACGTTAGCTTGTTTTCTCCATCTTCACACTTCTTGTATTTTATTTGTTGTCTGCGTTTATAGTTACTCGCGCGCCGGTGCGTTCATAGTTACTCGCGCTCCGTGCGATCCCGCCAAATCACGCTGCAACGCATGCTGTGTCCATCACACAGCAATATTTTTCTATTGCTTTTTGTTGAGTTTGCAGAAGAAATAATTTGAATAATTTTACCCTCAAGAAAGAAGGATTAACGCGAAAATTTCTTGCAAGGTTTTTTCCGCTTCGACACTATTTTCATAAAGGTGGTATTCTGTCCAACTTTGACTTTTTTACGTGAAAAACCCTACATCATTTTTATTGACGTTCATGACGATAACTAGAGCCACCATTGAGTTCTCAATGGTGGCTCTAGTTATCGTTATTATTTGAAAAAATGTAAAACAAATAAAGGTACCGATGTCATTTCTCACACTTTTTTCTCCACGAGCTCAAAATTATTGGATGCATTGCGAAATACAGTTTTAGAATTGCTAGAAACAAATTGCATGTAAACATGCGATATTTGCGTGATACTGTGTGTTATCATGCGAGCACGAAAATTAGAGATTGCAGAATTTTTTATGGTTAAATGTTTTTACTGATCGTTTGAGAGCCTAAATGAGAGATCAGCGATTGTAAATTTGGCTTACAAGTGTTTATGCAATCCCGACTAGCTTTTTCATCCACTCTAAAAAACATTCGCAGGCAAAAAAAATGAGAAAGAAAAGGAACACTTTTTTTGCTTTACAGCTATCGCATGATTTTTGTGAGACTAAGTGTCTAAAAAATATTCCGAGTTCGTGCTGTTTCAGATCTATGCTCAATCACTCAGATCTGTGCCCCCCCCCACCCGAGAATGGGTCGCGAAGTTTTTGAAAGTTACTTACATGAAGTTATAGTATGCAAGTGACTTGTTTACACTGTAGTTGATTAAGATAATTTTTTAAATTTTTTAAAAATTCTATAGCCTTATAAAAAATTCTTTCGGGAGCGTGGCTGACGCCACGCCACTTTTCACTAAAATTTCAGGGTTATGGGTTCAAAAAAATTTTGAGAAGCATCCAGAAATTTTTTCTGGGTAACGCCACGCACCTTCATCAGGAAATTTTTTGTCGTCCCCCCGGACGGAAATCTTGAGTACGCCACTCAGAATGATGGTAGACAATCGCTCCAGTGTTCAAAGCTTTTTCCTCTTTTTTCTTTTTTCGTCCTCTTTCTACCAGTGATGTTTTGTTTTATCATTTGTTGATTGTCCAAATGATAGTCTGAATCTCTAGCCCGGTTTTTATCTCCCTTAATTTCACCAATTCTCTGAAACTTTCAGTTCAGACTTTTGGAAGAGCTTTGATGATACGTAGATAGATTAGTATTTGTCAAAAACTTTTTTCCAAAGTGTTCCACTTTTGCGAAGCCTTGAGACACAATAATCTTGACTTCCAAAAATAGATTATGATTGAATATTACTTTTACCAAGCAGTCGAGCTTTCAGCGGTTCAAACTACTGGATCTGGAATTTCCCGGGTACAGCCTAGAAAGCGTCTAGAAAAAAAGAATTATAACAAGTCTACCTTCCAGGATTGTACGAATCAAGAAGAAAAAAAAGTCTATCAGAAAGAGGGGAAATAGCTTCACTGATTGTCATCCTAACTACTTGTCGTTTTTTGTTGAGGATTGGCATCAAGTATTTGAAAAGCCATCTACATATTCCAAAAAAGGGTTGCTTTTTGCAATTCGTTTTTTTATCGGACCGTTACCAAAAAATTCTAGAAGTACAAAAACAAATTTCAATAAATAGCTAAAATCAGGGTAGATAGAGACCATGGATTGGAGATTCTGAAGATTATTCGAACAATCATCAAAGAACTCGGAACAAAGACATAAATGCTAAAAAGGAAGAAATTCTGCATCGAATTTCGGAGCGAACCACTTATTTTGGTGAGAAGGACTCTACAAAATTGGAGGACTGTATGTCGCCGAAAAGGAAGTCTATTGCGGACATCTGCAACTACGCACCTCATGTGAACCCAGGAGGTGCGGAACTGTTGCAGATTTCGTGGGACCACACTTTTCAGCGACATAAGGTCATTTATCCAACCATGAGCTAAAATTGAGTATTTTATCTGAAATCCTTCATAAAGCACAACGATGAAAGAAGAAAACCCCCTTTAGTCAACAAATTAGTCCTCGTATGATTTGGGAGGAAGAAAAAGGGATGAGTTTATAGAATCTCTTATACGACCACAGATAGAAAGTTATTAAAGCTCGTAGGAATCTATACTCTTATCCTTGATGTGGTATACTCTATATATGTGCGAAAAGTAACAGTTTGTAACTTGAGAAGTTTCAATTGATTGCCAAAGAAATGCGTATTGAAGTGCTTTCTCGATGCGCAGAGGTGCCAGTAATTTTACAGTAAAGTTCATCAGCTTGATAAATTTATTAAAACCTCTTGAAGATGAGTAAAACATCACAATGAACGGTAAATCCTAGCTCTATGGAGGTTCTACAGCGCTTGCTTTTGGGTGATATATAAAAAATTCAACGAAGCCATTATAATGGCATCCGAGTACTACTTGTACCTTTCGAAGTTTCTCTTGCTGTAAAGTCCTTTTTTGCTCATAGTAAACAGAAATTTGAGTTCGCTATTCGTATCGCTAATAGCAAGTGCGAGAACATTTTTTTCTTATCCCGGCCTTTCCAAAGTATAACCAGCAACATAATAAACCTAGTAAAAAGTAATTCAATATGAGACTGACTGTCACCTCTCATAAAAAATATTAGTTTTTGCAGATTTTGCAGAATTTGTGGAAAGATGGGAAAATTTTTATTATAAGCACACCAGAGAGAAAAATTCAGCAATTTAGTCTAACTGTGCATTATATAGAGTTGGGAAGAACAAGACAAGAACAGTAACGGGTCGATGGATATACCGCAACTCTTGTTGTTCGTTCCTGGATTCATTGCTTAGACATAAACAATAATTTGATTTTCTAGTAACACTTCCGGATTTTCCCCAATACGAGCTGATAAACACTTTAATTTCAAAATTTATCTGTGATCCTGGATCAACGATTTATCCTTTATAAAAAAGATCGGAAGATCGGAAGTCTACGAATTTGACTTTGCAATTTTTTTTTATCAAATATCAGTTAATTTCAAATCAATGATTGGTGCAAAGATTCCAAAAACAGAAAACAAGAGTAAATGTCCAATTATAATATAAAGTTGTTAATGAGTACATAGAATGCATTTTTGCAAGATTGAACTTTTGTTTGAGTAATTTCAGAGTAGATAAAACAACATAAATGTTAATCGAAGCTTTTAAAAGATAATGCAAAACTTTACAACATTCAAGAGTGAGTCAGTGGTAAACAGATATCCATAAAAAGCCTAAATTGAATGATCAAACAATCCCAAATCGTGTAGACTCTCCGGATCCGGATGCAAAACATCATCGATGACCTATTAAAAATGGGACGACATGGCAGGTGAAGAAACAAGAAACAGGAACACCCACGAAATTTTAAACAAAAGGGCATATGCAATTTCCAATTCGGAGAATGCGACCCGTAATTCTAACATTTTTTATGCGGGGCCATTAAGGTTTTCAAAGCAATTTTGAAGAAAGAAAGACAAGTCCGGGATTATGAGGAAAGAACAAGAACGTAGAAGGCTACATTTAAAAAGGAAAAAACTGTTCTTGGTATATTATTTGATGCATGCCAAGCATGCTAGGAAATTCTGAACAATCTGAACAGAAGACGATCACATATCTCAGAATTTAAAATATTTTAAATTTCAGAAAATAAAAAGCAGAATGGAACAATGTTTAGCAGATAACTTACTATACCGAATTGACATATGTCTTGCACCAAGTTTTCAAACTCTTAACAATCATTATTTCAACGAATTTTTTCATTCAAATGTGTTCCGACAGAAAAAAAAATCATGTGTTTTCAAGTGGCTTGGAAAAAATGATTGTTGACATAGTTCTTCGATACAAGTGATAAAAAACTGTACTCAAATTGTTAGATTTACTTTTTGATCTTGAATTTATGATTTTTCTTCCTAAAAGACTGATTGGAAGTCTACGAATTTGATTTGATTTTTTATCATATTTGTCAATTTATCTCAAATCTGTTGTGTAATTTGCATAGTATCACACTTAACAAAAATCGCAAAAAGTTGTATAAATTTGATAATTTTTTGACACCTACTTAGAACAATTTTTTCTTGGGACAAGACTCATATATCCACCTAATTATGTTAATAGGTGGATAAATTTCCATAGAAGGAAGATTTTAGTGAAGCTTGAGTCCAACTTGCGGCGTAGAGAGGTTAGGAGCTGGTTTTTCCTTCATGCACTTATCCTAGACGTATTAGCTGGTACTGATCTTGGATAAAACTACCCTCGACGATGCTGAAGAGGGTTAAAAAGTGCTAGACGACGAAAGATCGACGAAAGTACGCTTTGCTAGTTTTGATGTGACTTCGACTAACATTGAGTGACGGTCTAGCTTGAATTAGTCATATGGCTCCAAACATCCTATCACTTTCGCTCTTTTTTTCCGCTTTGCGAAGTTCACGCAAAGCGCAAATTCTAGAGCATTTATTGAAAAAGTGGGATTAGTATTATTTGCTATCTTTCTGGCTCAACGCTTTCGCGCCATTTCTAAGGGGAAAAAACTTCACACTCAGTCAATCTCTAGAGGAATCAAACCTGCTGCTGCGATGAGTGGTAACCTCCAAAGATTTAGATTAGAAAAAAAGTCTGCCGCCAATTATTTATGGCACAAAACTACAGCTCTCTTACTTTCGAATTTGTCTTCATTTTACG